TTGTGTTAATTATCTCACAACTGCAGTGGAGAATTTTGAGAAAAGAAAATTATCACTAAGAAAGAAACTTAAAAGAGAGACTAAAGGCAAAAGTAAAGGCGAAGAAATTTCGGTGTAATGAGGAAAATATTTTTTTTCTTTACTGAGTATAGAATAAGAGCAGTTTATAATATACAAAAATTTTCTTGACTACACTTAGTAAGAAACTAAAGAACGCTGAAACAAAAACGACGAAGTCTAGAGCTACATACATACAAATCTAAGAAACGTGCATTAAACTGTTGAAATACCATTCTGGATTCAGTGGTTTGGGAATATTTTTGGACCAAACCTACTTTGTACCCTTAAACTTTATCATTTCTCAATTTGTATCTTAACCTTTCAATCGTAGACACTTTACACCCTAAACTCCTAATTTTGAACACTTTATGCTCTAAACACTCAACTTTGTCCCATTTAAATCCACACAATAATTATGTTCGCAAAATTAATGAGATAAAAGACGGTAAAATTAATGATATATACTATTTTGTTCTAATTGCGACCCCTTAACTCTTTTTTTAACCACTTGTAACATATTGTCATTGATTTATACGGCTTCAATCACTAATATTATTAGCAAAATTAGCAAAATAAAAAAATGGTGTAAATTAATGATAATGTATTGTTTTATTTTGCTACAATACCGTGGCACCTTTTAACCACTTTTGGCACGTTATCATTGATTTGTTGGGTCTTTCACGCCATTAATTTTGCTAATTCATTGATTAGATTTAAATTGAACAAACTTGAGAGTTTAGGGTGTAAAATGTTCAAAATTGAAATTTAGGATACGAAATGAGAAAGTTATACAAGTTGAGGGATGTAAAGTGGGGTTAGTTCAATTTTGTCTAATCTTTCTAGTCATAATCACCTAAAGAAATGTCCTCAACTAAGGGTAAAGTCTCCTATCGGTACGGGTGTGCATCTTGACCCAGTGATTAGATACGAACCCTATTATAAGGATCACATCCGAGTCAAGAAGTTATAAGGATTACATTCAGACATCATTTTTTGCGATCCACAGATATCTGATCCAATCTGCATAGCACTTTTCTATTTTTTTTTGAAATTTTTTTGCACATTAAATCTACTCATTTATAATGGTCTTATCTCTTATTTCTTATTGTTATGTCTATGCTTTCTTTCAAAATAGTTTTTTTATTGTATATGATGTTAAGTTTTAAACATATTGTCCTAATTACTTATGGATAAAAAAAATTGTAGAGGAAGTATTGAATCTTATAATGAAAGTTAGTACAATGAAAGAAAAGAATTCGAGTAAAAGAAAAGAATAATGAAAGTTAGTAGAATATATCACTTATAATTTGGACTAAAAACATATATGTTAGTACAACATATCACTTATGTGATATTTTTGAAATCCTAATACAATTAAATTTCATTTTATCTTTTGAAATTAATTTTTTAACAAAAAATTTAGGCCATGTTTCCAGACACCATTTTTTAATATTTGAACTTCTTTTTTTCTTTTGCTAAGTAAGTTGTGAAATTTTTTTTTTTTTTTAACAAATGCATCCCAACTAATATGCTATTTATAAAACTAAGCAAAAAGGTCCATTTAAATGACTTATGAATTGGATATAATGTGTTACGGTGAGACGTGGTTAGAGCTTTTGGATAAAAAAATTGTAATGTCCCATATTGATTGGGAAAGAGGGAAAGGAAATGTGTATAACGTCCAGCCTATCGAGTCACTAATAATTTTGAATTAACCATTTTGAACCCGTGGTTTTAATTCAATTAGGTATTGGGCCAGTTGGCGGGTGTGGGGCATTACAAATGGTATCAAAGCAAATCTCGCGTGGTTTCTACGTGGGGTGAGATTGGGGCCAAGTGGTGTAGTTCCAACTATGCAAGGAAGATTAAGTGCTATGTTGGACTAAGTGTCACGTTCAACGGGGGTTATCTCTAGAACCTATGGGACTAAGTGCCACGTTAGATGAGAGTCACCTCTAGAGCCCGTACGAATCACCTCTAGAATCCGTGCATGACTATATGGATGGTTGAATTGTAATAGGTTTTCCGATGATGCAAAGTTCTAAAGGTGGAGAGAGTGTAATGTCCCACATCGACTGAAAAAGAGGAAAAAGGAAGGTATATAAAGTATGGCCCGTCGGGTTACTAATAATTTGGAATTAACCGTTTTGAACCTGTGATTTCAACTCAAAAAAGGTATTAGGCCAGTCTAGCAGGTGCAGGGCATTACAGAAATATTTGTAAAATGTGATTTTCTTTTTCTCTTACACCCACTTAGGAATTGTAAACTTGTCAAAATTATTATAATCTTTTCATACTATTAAGGGAAGTAAGTGTAATTTTTAAAATCTCAAAGGAAGGTGGCTGCAATTATCAGAAATCTCAAGTGAGGTTTATGAAATTATCCCTTTCAATTGCTCCAATTGATGATGATAGAGATGGCTGTAATTTTTTTTAATAGAAAAGTTTTAGCTGTGTGCGAGAGATTGCCTTCTGATTCAAGGAAGAATTCACATCTTCTCCCTCCCGGAGAATAGTTAAATCAATCTCCTCAGCTGGTGAACTTCTTCTTTCTGTCAGATTGAAAGAAAGTTAGCCAACCAAGTGCAATATTACATTTCACACCTAAGGAGGGTACAACTTAACCATGAGAAATCAACTACCATAAATTGGCATTCCAAGAGGTTTTCACAGATGTGAATCACCAGCCCAAAGGCTGGTGGCCCGCACCAAAGGATTAAGGGTTGGTGGGGTGGGAGGTCAAGGGTTCAAACCTTATCTTCCACTAATTGCCACAATATGCAGGTTTACTTGAAAAAATCTATATGAGTGCGTAGTGTACCCGTTTGATTCGGTGATGGTTCAGTGCCCTTTGAATTACTTTTAGGCCTTTTCAAGTCCCCTCCTCCTAGTATAGAATAGTATAGGTCTAAAAGAATTTCATAGATGTGATAGATTCAAACAATAGAAAAGTGTGTGTACTTGCATAAAATAGCTTGACGCACGTCGATTGATGTGGTGTTTCTGTAGACTGTATTTCAAAGCGATTTTTGTACATGTTCCACGTTAACTAAAGTATTCCTGTCCACCATGCAAACCAAAACACCAAACCCAATCCTTCCAAAACGTCAACACCACAGCACCCTACCCATCAACATGACCATGTGTAACCTCATGCGTATTATTTTTCTTTTTTTTCCGAAAACGACAACTATTGTATTATTTATTTATCCTAAACTACAGGAGAGGGGAAACCGAAAGAGGTTGTATTTGAGACTAGCAGGTACACAGATTTTACTAGATCAAGGAATTGCTTTGGCACAATTCTTGAATTTTTTTTGCTGCAGGTGAAATTTGAACCCCCACCTACAACCCAAGGAGGGACTTAAGACCCTCAGCTCAGTGGTTAACCTCATGCATATTCAATACTCCACACTTCATCATTCAACAAACACACTTCAAGCAAACCACTCACAGTCACAGCTAGAACCAAAACAAAATAGGGCACAGCAACAAGTTTCACACCTAAAGAAGGTATAAGTTAACTATGAGAAGGCAACTTGCATAATTTGGCAAGTAATTTAAAAATTTATAGTTTTTAAATTAAGAATAGAAGGGTAAATATTCTCCCATAAACGACCAAAAATTTTAGTACACTATTGGGGGCCAGGCATAAACGAATCAAGTCCTTAATGAAATAGCAATAGTTAAGATTCAATTCAATTTGAGTTTAACGAGTTCGAATCAAGTTTCAATAATATTTAAGATTTGATAAAGTTAGCGAATTAAGTTAGAGTTCATATAGATTCAACTCATTAAGGCTAGAATAAAGTTTGATATATACAAAAATTATATATGTATTATTTATAAAGTAGTACTAAAACTAAAAAGAAAAAAATTGGAGCTTTCTAAATGAATTCGAGCCCATAACATAGGAGCAAATCGAACTCAACCTCAAATCTTAGGTTTGTCTACCATTCGAGTTCAGGAACAAAATTTAAAACCGAACCCATCGGCCTAAAATTTGATCTAATTTGATTCATTTCCAATAGGTTGAGGTAGTATTTCGGCATAGTGAACTCGAAATGACGTGTCATTTGGAGATTATTTGAAAAAATTTATTTAAAATAATACTGTTGCAATTTTTGTGACTGACATATTTGAAAAAGATAATTAAAAATCATATTTCTAAAGCAAGTGGAATAATATTTGAATTTTAAGTACGGTCGGTTACGTACTTGGGACTATTTCAAACCCAAAAGGAGTAATTTCGTCAGCAGGAGATCTGCTCTTGACCGTTGTCATTCAAACAGTAGACTACTCGTCCGCACGCGGCAGTCAAAGCCCATTATCTAACTTTGGAAGTGTTGAAAAGATTTAGAGCGACCAAGTGACTCTTTATTATTTAGTAATAGTCATAATGGTACATTTTCGTGCGAAACGTGAAAAGAGTAGTTTTAAAATCTCTTTCTCATTCATAAGTTCCCTTCTGTTGATAATTCGGCTGAAAAGAGCAAGGAACATGTTTTAAGATATCACTTTGCAATCGTGGTTGTATCTTCAAAAAAAGAAAAAAAAAACTAACAAAGAATAAACGTAAATGTTTACAATATACTGTGTGAATATACTGTGTGAATGTTTACAATATACAACAATAACATATATTCTAATATACGACAATAGCATTACACGTGAAATTACATATGACGAGAAAGTATAAAGTGATAATAAGATTAGATTGAAATAGAATATTAGATAGAAGTTATAGACATAAAACTTTTTAAACTAATTTAAACAATGTGAAACAAAATATTTTAGTATTTTACTTTTCAAAGTTTGAACGACTCTTTATCTCCTTTGAGAAAAGTTCAACCATAAAAATTGGGAAGTCTTGACCAAACTTCTGCCCTTTCTCATTGACACACCGAGTAAGATTAGCTTGCCTGCCTGCCACAGGCCTTACTATAAATATCTTTGCTAATAAATATAAAGTTCAAAATCTCTTTCTAACTCCGAACTTAAACCTGCTTGGCAATCAAGAACCAAATCATCAGAGCAACCATGAAAGCAATACACAGCCTTCATCAGAATCTCCCAGCTACAAATCTTCCCAACCCCTACAGGCTTCCATTGAGAATTGAATCCTATCAAGATTTCAAGATTGAAGCCCGGCCACGCCAAAAGCCTCCTAACAGGGCAGTTCGGCTAGCTGAATCATGGTCAAGTTCGTTACAGCTCCAGATTGAAACAGCAATTCATAAGAGCCTTAGCCATTCCAACAAACACAACAATCTTGTGAACTTTGAAGACATGCAAAACACACCAACCATGTCACCTAAGGAAGACATATCAGAAAAATGGCAGGAAATCCATGGTTCTAGTGAATGGGATACTCTCATTGATCCATTGCATCCATGGCTTCGTAGGGAGATAATCAAATACGGAGAATTCGCGCAAGCAACGTATGATGCTTTCGATTTTGATCCCTTCTCGGAGTATTGCGGGAGCTGTAGATATAATCGTCATAAAATTTTTGACAAGTTAGGCCTTAGCAAGAGCGGCTATAAGGTTAGTGCATACATTTATGCCATGTCACAGATAGACTTGCCTCGATGGCTCGAGAGGTCGCAGTTGGTCGATACATGGAGCAAAGATTCAAACTGGATGGGGTTTGTAGCTGTAAGTGATGATGAAGAGTCTAAAAGAATTGGAAGAAGAGACATTGTGGTGGCTTGGCGTGGAACTGTAGCAGCAACAGAGTGGTACGAGGATTTTCAGCGAAAACTGCAGCCTATAGGGGAGGGAGATGCCAAAGTCGAACATGGATTTCTTAGCATTTACACATCTAAGTGTGATTTCACTAGGTACAACAAGTCTAGTGCATCGGAGCAAGTCATGAAAGAAGTGAGAAATCTCGTGCATTTCTATAAAAGCAGGGGCGAAGAAGTTAGTCTTACCATAACTGGACACAGTCTAGGTGGTGCATTGGCTCTCCTCAATGCCTACGAGGCTGCAGCTTCCTTTCCAGGCCTCCCAGTTAGTGTCATATCCTTTGGTGCGCCTCGAGTTGGTAATATTGCTTTCAGAGATGAACTTTACCAAATGGGCGTTAAGACTTTACGAGTCACCATAAGGCAAGATTTCGTGCCTCGAATGCCTGGAATAGTTTTTAATGAAAGCTTGCAAAGGTTTGATGATTTGACCGGGACCTTAGAGTGGATTTATACACATGTTGGAGTAGAATTGAAGCTTGATATCAGGTCTTCACCTTACCTAAAAAGGGGATTCAACCTGATGGGGTTTCATATGCTTGAGACATATCTTCATCTTGTGGATGGATTCCTTAGCACAACCTCAACATATCGATCTGATGCCAGAAGGGATGCAGCATTGGTTAACAAAGCTTGTGATATGCTAATTGATGAACTCAGAATTCCTCCCAGTTGGTATCAATTGGCCAACAAAGGTTTGCAATGCAATGCTCATGGGAGGTGGGTAAAGCCCAAAAGGGATCCTGAAGATATACCATCACCTACTGTGGAATTGCATAGCCAGAACCATGTATTTGACGTGCAAACGCATTATGCACTTGAACCATTGTTTGCTTCCTGAGGTTTGAATTACATATATTGAATAGAGAGATGTGACCATAGATTAAGATAAAGTAGCTCTAAGGTGAACAGAGCAGAGGAAAAGAAGTATTTAGAAAAAGAGAGTTGAATAGTCATTAATTAGGCTGCTGTAACTTTATACTATTGTATAATAACTCCAGAACAGCACAGCGCAACGATGTTCAGCAGAAAATTCTTTGGCATAGATATCTGGAATGAGAATATCTCAAAAAATTTCTTTGGTATAGATATCTGGATGGGAATGTCTCGTAAAGAACTGCAGGAATAGAAGCTCAAAGTCATCCAAATTCAAGGGTATGGCTTTCGGAGCAATTGTAACAAAGAATTTATGTACATTTCCTAATTGGTTATAGAAGTAGTTCATCAGATGTCCTCATCAGCTCTTAATCAACTAGATCACATTTGATTTGGGGTGACAAAAATCGCATATGAGACAATTTGCTACCTAAGATTAAAAGGAATTTGCACTTCAATATGTAATCATATGCTTCACAAAATATAACTTCAACCAACAGATAACAAAAAGAGCCCAAATTTTCCAACGATGGATGATGATCAGTAGGAACGTAAAAGCAAAGTTTAATCCAATCCGTTTTCTTGCTCTTTCAGAAAAACACAAACCCAATTCTATTTCGTCATTCCTCTTTCTGAATGCTGGTTCTATTGTGACAGCCTTTTGGCTTCTTAATGTCCTTTTTCTTCTGTGCACGCATATCTTTGCGTCTTTCATATTTTCTCTCACCCTTGGATTTGAACTTGGATGCTGCCACCTGCTTATAGAAGAAACAGATATATCATGAGACTGGAAATTTTGGGATGACCATTGGTGCAAGGAGCCTTCCACAAGCAAATTGGCACGAGTTTGGGGTTGAGTGATGTAGCTTGTGTCTATGTTTGATTCCAAGTGAAAAATAGCTTTAACAAGTACAGGTGATAGATAGTCAACTTGTCATAGTATTTAACAGAGATGGGTTCTGGTCTATTATACGTAGCAAAAGATCTTGTTGGTTTGAAAAAGAATTTATTTTTGCTCAGTTTGCCAGCGACATTTGAAAAGTGATTTCCAAAGTGCAATTTCACACGTACCTGAGCGGTTACCATCCTTTAGATAACATTCAGTTGTGCAGGCAACTAGGCATATAAAAGCAACATAAACATCATACCATGAAAGTAAGGATATGAATATCAAGAAGATGCAGTGAAAGATATATTACATAGGCAAGGTCGAAATCTGTTGTCTCCTTAATCTGAAACGCTTCACTAAGAATATCCAAGTCAAAAGGAGGCAGGTGCTCATTTCTATCTCCCGTACAGGATGTACCCTGCAAGAGCTGACCAAGTTCCATTCCTTCTCCTTTTCTAATCTGTAGGTCTCCGACCAGATTACAAAGGTATGCAGACTCAGAAAGTGATAAAGGTGGCGGCCTCTTAGAGAAATAATCATGATGGAGCCAAAGTTTATAACGACTTATAAGATCAACTGCCCCACAAAGTTCACTAGGTCCTGAAGGTGTGCAACAAGACATCAAGGACGAAAGTAAGGAAGGGAAGGAGGAAGGAGGGGAAATTGAACTTCGAGAGGCAGAAAAAGGAAGAAATAAAGCACAAGATCAACATTATAACCACTTTTCTAAAGTTTGAACTCCTGAGTTTCACTTGTACTACAGAAGCCAAGATATAGCTGTCTGACATCAGAACCATAAAAAAAATGTAAATCTAATTTATTATTGAGCATAGCAGATTTTTTCTGAACAGAAGTAACATTGCGGCATACTTTAAGTTTGACACAGGAAAAATAGTTTTAGTCATCTTACCAACTTAAGAGAAGAATAACAGCCCTTTTCCTATTTGGAATTCCACCATACTCTATATAACAGTTGTTACAAGCTAATATAGCTTGTGCACATTTTATAAAGAGTATTAAAGAGGGCGTTGCCCCTTAGATGTACCAAAATGTAAAAATATAAAGAAACAAATCTTAGGCAAATTTAAACAAGATGAAAGACAAAAAGCAACCTATCATAATACTAACTGTACAGAGTAAGGATCTTCAAACATTATTTTTAGATAGAGGAGAGAATCCCAATACTAAAATTTACATTAGGATTGGCTTCCATTAGTTAGCAGCTTTGCTAATATAAAAGTACAAAAGTTTTGGAAGTCAGCTCTTTTCCAAGTGTTCTTGGATCAAGTTGCAGATATAGCTGCTCTGCACCCACTCCCAGAACCAAGAAAATGTACCATTGTATGTAACAAGTGTGCACATAGCTTGATCACTTCCTTTGTTTACATTACCTTAAACTGGCATACTAAGATGATTTATGACATTAAACCTGATTATTGCAGGGAATAACCAGATTTACAGGCACACAAACTGATAAAGGTCAGCCAGAAGAGCTGAAACGTAGAAATACACAGTAATTGCAAAGGAACTTCAAAGAAAAATAGAAACTGAAGATATGTAAAAAGAAATATTAAGCTAGAAAATTAGGAAAACCGAGTTTCTTGTTGAGGTGTATCACGAGCCTTTATGGGAACAAGGAAACAATGAAATCTCTCAGATGAACAAAAACTGCAGGAAACTCACTGACCTTCAACTACGATGAAAACTTGTGACCTCGTTGATCTTGCTTTATATGCATATAGAGCTTATAAGACCTGAGATCTTACCTGGCCTACATTCACCTAAAGTAGCTTAAACCAAAGCAAATTCAGACAAGGATGAATGCTCATGACCTAGTGATCTTACTTTATATGCATGTAGTATAAGGCCTGAGATCTTAGTTGAGCTACTTATCCAATGGAGGCTATTTGTTCGCTTTCTTTTGTTTTATTTTGATAGTGAAAGGGATGGAGGCAAAATGTGCCCATAGTGAGAGATGAAGGGCAGCTAAGCACATATTGGACTGTTGGGGCTGGAGGCTACGGGAGACAGAACTGGTGGAGATTCTGAGGTGGTGCAAGCAAAAGCTATAAAGGGGTGGAGATTCCACGTGGAACAAAATATGAGGAAGCCATGAGTTGACACCTTACTGCTGGAAATTGAGTCATTATCAAAAGTGAAGCCAGTGTTTCTTCAACCTTAGAGGGAAGGGTGGCTTCCATGGAGGATCAGGATGAGGTGACATTGGTAAGATAGGGGACTTGGAAGCGGCATTTGCTTTCTTTTTTTTCTCCCCCCATCATATAATTTAAGTTTTTTTGGTCAAGATTATAATAATCACTTCACACAAGTTTTATAACTCAACTTTCAAATCGGCCTCTGTAGAGGAAGCCAAATGTATCTATTACTATTGGTACAATTCTTAGGGGAAAAAAGTACATGGACTTGAATTTCATTGGCGGAAACTATTCAATTGAAAAGCAATTTTTTAGTATAACTGCCAGGATGATTACTATCCAATATTATCACAAGGCTTTGCAACAAGTTATTAGTTTCAACAAATCATTCAGCACATCCAGGAGAAACAGTAAAAACAATGAATTAGAGGTTTTATGTAATGCCATCTAGCATAACAATAATAACAGAGACAAAGAGAGCAAAATTTATATTGACCATGGACATCACATCCCATGTGATGTGTCAATGTCTGCATATACGAGACACCAAGTTTCTGATTTCCAGTGCTCAACTTTTATGCCCCCTACTCATCTGGTAACAAATGCACAACACACTGTTTTAACCCATATTCATACTCCATGAATAAACAATGGAGAGAACATGGACAAATTGACCGCCCAAACTAATGCATTGAACCACTGCACTCACTTTAATCCAAAGTTTAGTTCACAACTTTTGCAAATAACCTCCAAAGCAGGAATACCCATCACCTATTCACCATCTATCCATCATTCAGCTTAAAAACCTTATCACTGGCATATATGGGAAACAACTTCTTGACACTTCCAAATGCAGAAGTAGGCTCCCAGCACTGTAGCATTGGTCAAGAATTGGGAAGTGACACACAATAACACAATCTTATCTCGTACTAAGGCTAATTACTCTGATTAATAAAGGCATAGGAAGGCTTTTTTAATTGTGGTCACTAAGGTTAATCTTTTTTGGGTCCATAGAAGGATTCACCCAGTTAAAATGGTTGAATGATCTCAGAGTGACCCCAAAAAAAAAATGAAGATGGAACCTATTGTACTTTATTTGTTTAAGTAGCTTCTTCATCTAAATTCAGAAAGCTTGAGCTGGAGTTCAACAGCATATGCTTTGAAGCCAAGCTCGAAGAACGTGGTACTTGGGTTCACCTTATCTTGACTGCACACTGAAATTGAAAGAACCAAAATCATGCAAGTTTTGTAAAATGTTTAGAAACCTGTGTGCCAGAACCAGGCAACGAAGGCATACATCTGTGCAACAAGATGATTACGTCCCAGAGGGCAATGCATGGACACATTCACACTTCAACCAACAAAACACAAAATTGACAAAGTAACAAGGTTACACTCAAAACATCTAGAAGTGTTTTTTGCCTATATGGTACACCTAACTTAGAAATCTACCAATTCGTTCTATACCACAAAGAAAACATGAGATAAAGATATATTAACTATCTATGCCATTCATGTCATCTGCACTATAAACCTTGGTAATCCAGATTATGGAGTAGGAAATATATCCCTCCATGACGCAATCCACAAAAAGTGAAGCACAAGAATTTCCATCCTTACATCTCTCTGTACAGCAAGAGCAAAACTCGTTTCCTCTCTCTGCTTCTCAAGTTATCTTCACCTATAATGCATAACTGAATGGCAAAATAATTAAGGAACCTATGCAAAGCTTACCACACTTCTCCAGATTGTGAAGCAGGATATGAAAGGCTTTACAACAAATGCTAAAGTGCAAAGAACAAGAGGGCTAATCTAGACATAGATGGCAGATGACAAACTAGCAGGACACAGAAGTGCAATAACGGCATTAAGTAGTTTCCCCAAGCTAATGTCATGCTTTATAAACCAGCAATGAAGCCAGCTAATCAATCCATTTAGCACATCAAGCGAGAGCCCCCTTGTCAATAAATTTCACACACATTAAATTCTCTCTAAAGAGCAATACACTGCTTCACAATGATAGAAAAACTTGGTAGACATTTTACAGCAGCGAAGAGCTTTCAGGAAGCAATTGAACACTTGAAAATGTTGAAATAATAAAATATAGGAACAACTTAAATACTTAAGCCAGAATATTATCCGAACATCTTGAACATAAGAAAACAGTGAGTTTCCGAATACTATATGTTAATTCCGCCTAGATCATTTTTCTTTTTAAGTCTTATAAATCTTCCAAACAGGAAAGTGAAACATTGAAATGCAACGTGAGAAACAAAGATTAATAACCATTTCTACCTCATCCTTCAAGAGAGAATGTTAACAGTTGAACACATAGATGAACGTCAAACCTCTACCGTGTTCCACAATTGAAAGCAAGGTCTCAAAACAACAGGGAGCAAGATTTATAGTTATACATATGAAATAAGGAGTTATACTCCACTATGAACAACCAAATGAATAAGCATTCACAGATAGGATGATGACTATATGTACGTCCATGTTTGAGCCATTACTGCTGAATACTTCATCGGAATAATTGCTTCAACATCAGAAACATCAACATGAACTCTGGCCTTGCTTTATCACTGGTTTAAACCTCACGAGACAAACTTCCCATCGTGAAGCTCTAATATACAGTGACATATTACATGTATAAATGAATAAAAGATGACAATAATGTGCACAACAGATAAGCAGACTAATGATCAACCACTAAGCCTCCATTACTTCTGTTGCTTACAACTTTTTATTTCAAGACATGATAGCCTAAAACTAAGAAAGAAGTAAAACCTTTATTCTGTTCATATGGTCCAAAAGTAATCCAAACACTACACACACTATGTCTTAAAACATTTCCAAATCCCTAATCCATTTCTGGACTTGTTCAAACATAAAAGTCCACAGGGCAAGCTTTCCAACAAACTCTTGAAGATGATTTTCCCACAAAAACAAGAAAGGTGGGTTTATTTGGACTCCATCTCCATCTACAATAAGAAAGATTTTCCTTTTTATGAGACATTAATGGGATCTGCAGCACTTCAAATTGAAATTTTTTATTGACTAGGGCCAATGGTTAGCAACCACTATCTATATCACCTAGGACTTGTCACTAGTGTTTAAGCATCCAATTTGACATGCCACAGCCAAACAATTTCTATTTCTTGTACTGGATACTTTTCAAGCATGGACAAATTACCCATACACTGCTTGTAACTTACTAATACCCATAAATGCCACAGCAGAAGCAACTTTAACTTTAGCAACTATTAATGGCCTGCCATACTGATCGCAAAGGGGAAGGAAAACTTGACAACTAGACGGAATGACCTGCATAGACTACAGGAGTTTCTCTTAACTATGGTAGTGGAAAAGGAGGCACCTTAATTAGGACAGGTGGGAAAAAAATTAAGGGAGCAGGTGCTGCAGACAAACAATTTTGCTCAGGTGTATAGCGATCAAAGACAAGTCCATTCTATACTAGTCTTCTCCAATCATATATTCATGCTTTTTTCAATAAGATGTAGTCAAGAAAACAAATCAAAGAAAAAGTTAGAGGTGGAGCAAGTATTAAAAGGCAGGACAACATAATCAAGATTTTGACTTGGAATTTTAGTCTCGCTGAACTTCTAGATGTACTTGACTGCCGACTTCTAGAGTTACAAGTTGCTCTTTTTCATGGTAATTGTTTGTAAATCTCCTAAAACATCACCGCCACATCTCACTACTTTGGCTCCTGATCATCTTATGCCACCTCAAGTTCTCTTCCTCCAAACTTGGCGAGGCCTATTGATCTGTTCTTTGCAAATTAAAGCCACTTTTCATCTCAGACAGTCCCATGAGATTAATCCTTAAGTGAAGAGCACCAATCAGCAAATCTGTTGGACCAGGTTTTTCATCCAAATGCATAAAAGAAAGTGTTTTCTAAAGTCTGCGTGGTAACTCAAGCTACATCATGCCCACAGGCATCTCCTTAGAAGAACAGTCTATTGCAGTTAGCATAAAACATACTTGAAACAGCTGAAAAACCTAGAGGCTTAACATTTGAGACTAGCTTCAACCATACAATACCAACTTATCACATTTCTTGGAAATACAAGTTCCCCTTCTACCATAGATCATCATTGTCTTCCCAATTTTTTTATTTATATCAAGCGCCTATGGTCTCCATTGCTTTTCAGCAGGAAGGTTCTTTATGATTTAGTGAAGAAGCTTGCAATGATTTGTCATCAGAGACACGAGCTAAGCATAGAGGTCAATACTTTAGACACATCCTTCTGCGTAGCTCATTAGCTCCCCTCAGTTTTAGCTATATTAATGTTTGACTTAGAAGTAAGAATAGAACTTTTGAAATCATAGTAGTTTTTTTTCTTAATCTCAAATATAGACAAAGGAGAGGAATAGGGAGACTGAGACAAAGTAATCCGTGCAAACAAGGTTACCCTTTCTTTAGATAATGGCACAGAGAGAGGATTCTGAGAGCCATAAAGCATTAATAACATTATCTAACACCAATCTCAGCCCCACAATAGAGAACTCTACAAGAATAGGAGTACCTCTGGGCTAAACTGTAAAGCATAAATTGAGCCACCCAAATTCAACCATGCATTCTCAACAACTACTACAGTGCACCAAAGTTGGATTCTCTTAGTAGATCATATTGCATTTGTTACCAACATTATAAAATCCCCACAACTTATAATCAGTCAGAGTAACTTCATTGTGCAGCAATGCATAAGAAAGGGTACATAAACCAGAAAAATTTGTGAACCATTCCACCCAATATAAGCGATTTATCCAATTACAATAACTCCATATCAAGCCAGTGAAACTTTTTTATTTTATTTTTCTTTTCCTTTTCTGTTGAAATCATACTCCAGTTACTATAAGCTCCTTCGGATAGTGTTAATTATGCTCTATCCATTAATACAGATAAGTCAATAATCAAAGAAGCAGCATCCCTGTGAATGCCCTATTTCATTTCTTTAATTTGATTTCAGAGGAAGAGAAAATAATTTGAATAAAGAACACAAAAGTGTCCTGCAAACCTTACCTCTTCCAAACATTGGTTTTGCAAGATCCATCACTTCTATGATAAGTGTGAGGGTTGATCCTCAACAACCCTTAGACTGCAGAAAAAAGCAACCAAAGAAAATATGAGAAAATGCAAATCGTTATCCTATATCAAATTGAATTGAGTTGGTGAACTTTTTGACTAACTACAGAAATATATTACGTACCGCGAGTAACAAATTCAAAAACCAAGAATATATGGCAGACAAAAAAAAGCATTACAATTTGGTGAAGCTACAATAAGACTCTTCAAGGTGGTCTGATGTCCTTGATTCCTTGTTCAGTTTGTTTTACGTGGTGAAAAGGACCCACTTTAACCGCACTACTATTTTCTTTTTATGTGATTTTCCCACAAGACTATACCATCGTCAGTCTTTGCTGTAATTATACTAAACAGAGCAAAGATATTCCAACAAACATCAGCAATTGGGAAATTTTGCGCAAGAATTATAACAAATGGACACCACCGGAAATCTACAAAACTTAAACGAACACAAACTTACAAGAAAATTGTTAGGAATGCGGAAATTCTTCTGGGTGAATATAGCCTTAAACAAATACTCGAAAGGCAAATGAGAATCGGCATACGAATCAAATGCACATGCTAAACTGTATTTCAGAGAAGATTTGGCCACTTGAATCAATCCCGACAAAGATTTAACCCAAAAAAACAAAAACCTAGTAAAACAGCACATAATGCAATTCGCAATGTAGTAAAGAAATAAATTGAAAAAAAGATTTCATTTTTAAATCTTCAATCTATCACATACATGGATTGAATAACGTGTTAGAGTAGAAACAGAGAGAGAGACAGAGAGGGATGTGTCACCAGAGAAGAATAAAGGCCGGCCAAAGATGACCAGAGCGATTTTGCACTGGGGCTTTTTTGGGCTTCTTGAAGAGCCATCTTCTGCAGGATGGGCAAATAACGATGGTGCTGCCCGAACTTTAGCCCTTTGCCAAATTTGGGCCCCGACTTAGTTTTTGATAACCTAAGGCCCTCCAAGAAGTTGGCTAAAAAATTGTAATTCTTTTGGTACATAATGAACAGACACACAGAAACAAAAAAAAGAGCTAGAAATTTATTGAAGTTTGTTATGGAGAAATATTCTATCTATGAAGTGAGCCACTAATTATTATCACACAAATAACAAGAGATTTTTTATTCCTCGTTATATGTAAATAATGACAACTAATGAGGTTAAAAGGTAAGCATATTATTTTGTGAATTTTTTTTCAAATATGATTATGCATAAACATTTAGACTTAATATGTATTATGGTACCTTTCTAATAGATTCTCTTGATTCTATTTGGTATTTTGGATCCAAGAATTATTGCCTATTTGGTGGGATAATTTTTGTAAAATGTCACATTATCAGACCAAACAACCCAGATGGGTTTAATATTCTAGGCTTAAAAGCAAGTGCAGGTGATACAATTTACATAGAGTGGGTTTTAGTGAAAAAAAACGGAAGATCATTAAGCTGGCCATCAACACAACAGTGAAAATGAAAAAAATTAAAAATACACAACTTTCTTAAAGGTGAGGTTCACCACTTGTCACAAAGATGGGCTACTACATTACTTGCACTATCTTTTTATTGTATCTATCTACCTTGTATATAAAAAAGAAGAGAAGTTACTGTAACAAGCTTTTTTTTTGCCATGTGTATAGCTTATCTTTCTAACAAATGGCAGTTTCCTGTTTAGTTGAATTTTTACTCCTTTATTTTTTTTGGTTAGCCTAAAATCAATAAACACTTCTCTTCTCAATGAGAAATCCCACTTCATCTTCGATTCTTCCTCTTGCCACCTCCGTCTCCCTCTTTTTTTTTCATCTTTTTTGCCCCTTCAAATTTCTTCTTTATAACTAATTACAGTAAGAATATTTTATTGCTATTTTTTTAGGTAATTATTGTTGAACATGGAGAAGTTTGTCTTCCTTTGGTGAGGTAATTATTGCTATTTTCTAACTATTTTTCTACCTCGTATATAAAAAGGAAGAAAGGCTACTATAACATCTCTTTTGGCCATGTGTATAGTCTCTTTTTCTAACAAGTGGTAGTTTCCTTTTTAGCTGAATTTTTACTCTCTTATTTTCTTTGGTTAGTCAAAAGTCAAACAAACACCACTACTCTCAATGAGAAACCCTATTCATCTTCAATTCTTCTTCTTGCCACCTCTATCTCCCTCTTTTTTCTTCATCATTTTTCCTCTTCAAATTTCTTTTTTTTATAACTAATTACACTAAATTATTTTCTTGCTATTTATTTCAAGTAATTATTGTTGAACATGGAGAGGTTTGTCTTTCTTTTGTGATATAATTATTGCTATTTTCTAACTATTTTTTCAGTATTCCTTTATTTTGGTCCTGCAAGTTGGTTCTCTTTTCGTGAGGTTTGTCTTAAATTTAAATGCAAAATTGGTATTTTGCAATTTTGATGTTTAGTTCCTTTTTCAACGTTTTGAAATTTTTTTTCTTTAGTATGCAAGCTATTTGACAAGCAATTTTTTGCTTTTTTTTTTTGTTGGAAAGTTAAAAATCATTTATGCATTAACTGCATTTTTACTTATTATGTAGCATTCAATTGTAATTTTTGAGGTTTTGTCTATCTTTCTTTTAAAGACATGTTATCACCTCTATCTTGTAGCTTTATTAACAATATTTATACATACATTCTAATAAAAAGTTAAGTCTCTTTCACATTTTCAAGACTATACCTATTGCAATTTAAATTAAATTAAGGTTACAAAAATTCAGGTTAACCCCAAAAAAGTTATAAAAATTCAGTATCGAAGAATCACTAAAGAAAGTGCAAGATTCAATTATTTTGCCACAAGAAATTAGAAGAAGGTTTTTTTTAGGACAAATCCAAAGACTTAAAATTTTAATTTGCCTAATTAGATAAATCTCATAAAATTACCAAGACACTATCCAAAAAAATCTTTAAACAAAATTACAAAGATAGCAACCTAGAGATAAAAGAAAAGGCTACAACTGATTCCTGTGACTACTGAACTGATTTCAGTGTAAAAAAATTCTGTTCAAGAATTTAAAATAATTAATAGATCAATGCTGGTTAAGGTACTGTCCTTATGATTTTTTTTTTTTTTTAGTGATGATGTTATGGAAATGTTAATATCCACTGAGCTTAACCGAAAAAAAAACACCTTATATGTACTAAGAAAGTTTTCCTTTGCAAGTAACATGGTTGCTTCAAGGCTTTTAGGCTTAGTTTGGGAGTTTATGAAGGAAGTGAAAAGAGAAGAAAAGATAACTTAGGAAAGAAAGGAAAAGAAGGGAAAAATGTATATTTCATGTGGGAGTTCAATGACAGAAAAGAAAAGAAACATCTTTCTCTTATTTGAGAGTTGGAGAGATATGGAAAGAAAGGATCTTACGAGAATACAACTTTATGTATTTGCCATTTTAGTTTTTAAATCAAAGTCCAAAGATTTGCTTTCTTGTTCCAATAAATAGTATATTTGGGCAAGACAAATTTCTAAAATAGTTGCATATACATTCCCACAAGATGAATAGTAATAAGTTGAGTTCCCAAATTGTGCAAGACAAATTTCTGATACATCAAGCATGATAAACTTTTTTGTGTCACTATACGCATGCCTTTATGGGATCAGCATTGTTATCCAAATAAGCCAAATCAAACAAAAAAGATTAAAAAAGGGGAAACTAGAGCTGGCAAAGATATAGTTTCCATAAAATGGATATTTTTAGTTCTTTCATATCTCATCAGATGCCTAATTTTTCATGTCTAGACATAAGGGACAACTAAATGAATAGCTGAAATTAGGCCCCGTAGCACTTAAATTGGTGTGAGATGACCAATAGGACATGTCATGCTAAGTAGTTCTACATAGGCACTCATGGAAGCTGTCATAAAACAAGAAGTTTTGAAGTTATTCAAGTTAAAGCCAGCATTTGTTTTCCCTATTTGGATAGGGCCATGGGCTGGAGCATTTCTGTTTGGCAATAGTTAATCTTTTGTGACCATTTGTTTTTCCTATTTAGATAGCCTAAAACAAGGGCCTGAGAACATTGATGAGATCATTAACTCCAACAAAGTAATATTGCCTATCGATTTTTTATGTTCATGCATTCTATATAAGCAAATAATAGTTAAACACTTCACATGAAGGATATGACAATTCTAATACTATAGCTGATCGAATCGTTCACCTGAACAAATTCAAGTGAAATGAAGTAATTCTTGCACCATGGATCTTTGAGTAGGTTATAGACTACGATGTGTTTGCAATAAGTCACATAAGCACCTAAAAGTTTCTGCACTATACGGATAACCTTATTCAAATATCCATTTGTAGTAAGTTGCATCAATAATTCGTCTCATACTAAATGACATTGTGCAGACCGATATCTAATGGGTTGATCCACATAATTTGCACGGCTTAGATTTCGAGCAATTATCATCTTTATTACATAATAAACAATTTCAGTAGCAACTAATTGTCGATTCCTTTGTTGAATGTCATATTCTCCATCAACTTCTTTTTGTTCCTTATCCATCTAAAAATTTCTATTAGGACACTAAATTTACGAATGAATGGATAATTAAAAAATAGATTTTATTTATTTACAAAAGTTATGGAGTCATTATCAGGTACAATGCCAAAACTCTAAACATCAATATAAAGAGAAGTATTCTCTAATAGTAATGTTTTTAAAGTGTTAACATAATCTACAATAAATAATCAGGAGAATGCAATTTTCGAATACATAAAAGATGTTTGTAAACGAAGGTACTGATATATAAATACCATTTTGTCTACTCAAACTTTATTGAAAAATTCTTCGTTGCTCTAATTTAAGTTGATCAGGCATTAGATTTTTCATGTCTTCATTTTGGTCTCAACTGGCAACCGGGGACACCTCTATGACCATAAATAGAACTACCATAGACTAGGAGATCTAATGATATCAACTCACATGACAAAATGTGATTTATTCTATTGTCATATGACCACTATCTTGTTAGGTCTAATTTGTTTTTTACAATCAGTCTTCATTCAAAGCAATACTTCTAGTATCACCATTTTTTTAATCACTTCAAAGAAAGATGCATTGTTACAATAAAAGAGGCTAGCATACTGCTTACGGACTCTAGATTGATCATTTTACAATCTACAGTGTTCTTTTGAGTGCAAGGTTATTGGTTTAAAAAAGAGATGTGATTAGCATTGTAGATTCAACATTATTAGGAATGACAAAAATCAAATCGGCATGGAGAATAGCAAAAGTTGCAATCCTTTTATTAGGTTTTATAATAAAACAACTATAGGCAAATAAACAAATAGATTGTATGCATTTAAATTTTATATTCATGTATCACCACCGATGCTTACATGTATCATAACCATGCAGGACATAATCATAGATCAATAATATAAAAATCAAGAGTTCATTGACAAGAATTTTATGACAGAAAATGAACTAAAAATT